CTATATGTATTGAACTGAAGATCTGGGACTGACAAGGAGCCTTTGTCAGTCACAGGGCTCTTGTGGCATTAGGTTTTTTGAAGTTTACAATGATGGAATTTGGTTAAATAATTTTCCTTTACACATTAAAATAATTAGGGAGCATTAAATGGCTACTGCAATTGACCAGAATTAAACTGGGGCTCTGATTGTAAACTGGAATAAGTTTTAAAATAGTAATTATTTTTCAAATTTCCATTGTGTTTAATCATGGTACATGGAACTATGTTACAGAAGGATATTTTCCTACAAGTATGTACTGTCTAGTGTGCTTTTTTTTGTACTACTCTCTTGCCCTTTCACCCATTCTCCCATTAGTCCCTTTGCTCCTGTAGGCAGTCTCATTTTTATTTTCATGTCATATATACAGTCTTGCTTTTATGTATCTACATGAAGTTTAAGAATGAAAATGAGCCAAGAATACGGAAAAGGAATATCACGGTAAAGGGCAAGAAAGAGCCCAAAAGAGGGGTATAGTAAGAAACAGATATTATCAAGGGAAAATGTTAAAATGGGGCTATTCAACTGGGAAGGGAAGATGGAAGGACATACAAGGAACAGTGGGAGTAAAAGAGAAGAAGGAACTCAAGAGAGAGGGGATAAGAGGAGATAGTTATTACCAAGGGGAAAATGGGGTTGCTGTAACTGGGGAAATGAGAGGGAGGTTAGATGGAGAAAGAGAAGAGAGATGAAGCTTAGGTGGTGTGAAACACCCGAGATAAATGTATTAACTCAAAAACCTACTGAAAAATACATATATAATATCTTCACATGAGTGTATGTATGTATCTGAATGCTATTAGAGCAGGAAACATGGTGTCAGACAGGAGAAATCGCCCTTCAGGTTGTTGGTCAGTGTAGTGCAAGAGACTCCCAAAATAACACAGGCTGTAGCCACAGCTCTTGAAGGTAAGGCCCTATTACTGAATAGAGAGGATACACTTCGAACACAGGACTTGGAGCAAGGGAGCTGGAACTGACCTGGAAGCCTTCTCCCTAGACTAGCTCTCATAGTTCTAAAGGACACTATGCAAGCTGCTAATGGAGAAAATCGATTTTCCAACCCAGCTCTGAAGTCTAATTAACACAATGACTGACACAGCAAACTACCTCAAATGGCACAGTAGTGGCACTGTTATCTAGGAGGTAATCAACACCTATCTAATTGAACTTAAAGCCCTGTCAATGGGAGGGAACTCATAGGTGGCACTGTAAACACAGCCAAATACACAAGACTAGGCAGGCCATATAGCTTAGAGAAAACCCTTTCTCTGTCATATCTCTAGACAAATGAAATTTCTTACCATATGATAAAGATGGAACCTTCTGTTTATGGACAAGTCTACTGCATCATCAAAGAAGTTTATTTTTGCACGTTTATTTGATTGATTTCATACTGTTTAGTTTTAGAGTACTTTTTAATATTCTAGCCATAGATGCTGTGACAGATCATTAGATAGCAGTCTATAGGCTGTTACTCCTATACACTTGATTAACTGCTTTGCTGTGTAGAAGCTTTTCTATTTCATGGTGTTATTTTTCAGTTGTTGGCATTATTTCTTGAGTGACCACACTTTTATTCAGAAAGACCTTCTCTATCCCTATGTTTTGAAACACTTTCACCATATTTTCCTATAACAGTTTCAGACTTTCTTATGTTGAGGTCTTCAATCTATCTGGAGTTTGTTTTTCTATTTTTCAAGGGGAGAAATAGGGATCAAGTCATTATTGTACTTGTGGATATCTAATTTTCTTAGCATAACTTATTGGGAAGGTTATGCTTTGTACAACATATCTTCTTGCATGTTTCCCAGAGATGACATGGTTGTAGCTGCAAGGGTTTATTGCTGGGCATTCTATTTTATTCCATTGTTTTACTGTGATTTTGCAGTATGTCTTGAAACCATAAATGGCCACAGCATCAGCTTTTTCTTTCTGACTCAGAAGGGCTTTGACTAGACATTTTGTGCGTCCATATGATTTTTAAGATTTTTTTTCTTTTTCTATGAAAACTGGCATTAAAATTTCATTGGGACTACATTGAGTATGTAAATTGATTTTGTCATTAGTCATTTCTATAATGTTAACTCTTTCAATACATAACCAAAGAGAGTCTTTCCACAAACTACTTATATTCTTAATTTTTTTTCTCGAATAGTTTACAATTTTCATTGTAGAGTTTTTACTTTCCTTAAATACATTTAAACCCTTCCTTTTTAGGTGACTGTGAATGGGATTGTTTCCTTGTTTTTTTTTGCCAGTATGTCAGTATTTGGGAAGGCTATTAGGTTTATATGTTACATGTATATATACTTCATATCTAGTAGTATAGTTTTTCAATAAAATGTAAGAATTTTTTGGAAAAGTCTCACAGCCTCTTATAGACAGAATTATAGCATCTATGGATGAATACATTGACTTCTTCCTTCCTTGTTTTTATTCTCTTTAATTTCCTCTCTTGTCTTATTGCTTATCTAAGTCTTCAAATACTATACTTATTAAGAATGCAGAAAATGAACATTCTTGCCCTCTTCCTCGTTTTAATGTGACTGTTTTGAGTTTTGCCCTATTTAGTATGCTATTGACACAGCAGAATGGGATCCTTGAGAGCAACAGACTTTCTCATCTCCCGTGGGCTTAACTAAAGAGTAGAGTGTCAGACACTCATGGTCACCAAAGTCTCAAAGTAGTCAGTAGCTCTGGATCCTTCATCTAGAAACCAAAAAATAAATTTCTCAGAGAACAAACTGTGTATTTAAGAAGGATCATTTAATGCTGAGAGAAAGCAAGGAGAACATCATATAGCAGGAACAGCTCCCAACAAGGACTATAGCTGTCTGGCTTTGTCTAGATGTTAATACAGTTTTATGTTGTCTCTTTTTGTATTAAAGAACTAAACTGGTCTTTGAAATGACTGGGCTGAGGTAAGGCAAGGTCAGCTGCTCAGTCCAACCGACTCAGCCATAGACTCTCACAGGATCTTCATCTGTCTCTCCAAGCTGATAATGGGACTGGGAATCTAGCACACACATTCAAGGACTAATAATGTACATGATCAACATAGCTTCCCGGTAACTGTGGTCAATAAATCGCTGTGAAAAAAAGACAAAACAAAAATGAAGGACACGAAGTAGCTGTCTCTCCAAGCTGATAATGGGACTGGGAATCTAGCACACACATTCAAGGTCTAATAATATACATGATCAACATAGCTTCCTGGTAACTGTGGTCATTAAATCGCTGTGAAAAAGAAGACAAAACAAAAATGAAGGACACGAAGTAATGCCACTGGCCAAACATGTTTGGCATTTCTGTTCTCCAGCCTAAACTGTTACCAATAAAACCAAGAGCATTCCTGATTTCTGAGCAGGTTATCACTGTCTGCTTTGAACCCCCACCCTAACTGCCTGACTGCTTTCTTCTCCTGTCCTTGTCAGTGTTGACTATATGTTTGTTGTACACAGCTTTCCTTATGTTCAGAGTTTTCTCCTGTTCTCTTCAGGATTTTTATAATGAAGGTATGTTGAATTTTGTCAAAAACTTTTTATGCATCTATTTGATCATGTTATTTCTGTCCTTGAATTCATATGTACTGATTTCACTACTGAGTTCACATGTACTGATTTGCATAAATCAAGTCACTCTTGCACTTCAAGTTGAGTGAAGCCAACTTGATCATGGTCAATGACTTTTATGATTTGTTGTTGAATTTTATTTACAAATTTCTTATTAAGTGTTTTTTCATCTAGGCTCATCGGGGAGACTAGAATCTTCTTTTCATTCTGTGTCTGTATTTGGTTTTGACATTAAAAAGAATTTGGAAACATTCCTTTTTTATTTTCCAGTTTTTGGATGAGCTAGAAAGACAGCAGTGTTAGATCTTTAAAATGTGGTAAATTCAACATTGAATCCAATCTGGACCTGGGCTGCTTTAGGTGAGGGATTTATTATTGCTTCAGTCTCTTTGCAAGTTAAAGATCTGTGGAAATTGTTTAATCTTCTTCATTTAAATTCATTGATTTATTTTAGATTTTCCAATTTCTCAAAACATACATTTTTAAGGTATTTCCAAATGCTTTTCTGAATTTTATTGTCATCTCTTGTAATGCCCCCTCCTTTATACCTCTAATATTATTAATTTGGATCTTTTCTCTCTTTTATTTTTGCTCATTATTTGTCAATATTGTTTATATTTTCAGAGAAACATCTGTTGTCTCATTTATTCTTTGTAATTCTTTTCATTTCTACTTCACTAATTCTGCTTTGATCTTGATTATGTCTTTCTATTGACTGATCTTGAGTTTGGCTTGTTCTTATTTCCAAGGCCCTATGTGTTGTGTGACAAATATTCTTGAGAAGACAAGAACAAATGTTTAATCACTGACAGAGGACGCTGATGGTAAACCACATCAAGGATACCATCAATATCCAACTTGGTGAACTAATGAGTTTTATTGGGGTTATTTTCAGGAGTATTTGTGAAGGGCTACTTATAGGAGCATTAATGACACCAAGACAGCAAAAGCTCACCCCAGCATGAATTACAGCTCATGAAAGTTGGAAGCCTGCATAACAATGCACAACCTTCACTCTGAAGTGCTCATGAATCCCTTCAGCCTGTTTTCATTATGGAAAAATTTACTTCTTCCTTATTCATTTATGATAGAAGATTTGTCTGGCTATTTTAGTCTGGGTTGGCAATTGTATCTGATATACACCTCTCAAAAATAGCTTGGTTCTCAAATTTTCTGCTAAGAAATCTGCTATTATTTTTATGGGTCTGCCTTTCCATGTGACTTGGTGTTCTTTTAAAGATTTCAATTTACTTCATTTTTTTCTGTATATTTAGTGTTTTAACTGTAATATCATATAGGAGGTTCTTTCTTGATCTATTTAGTGTTTTAAATGCCTCTTGTACCTGGATGGGCTTCTCTTTCTCTAGATTTGGAAAATTGTCTGCTATGACTTTAGTGAAAACTTTGTCTCTGCCTTTATCATGAAACTCTTTTCCTTTTTCAATGTCAATTATTCATATATTTAGTCTCTCCCAGTGTCCCATGGATCTCATTCTTTCCTATTTTTTATCTATTCTGAATGCTCCCATTCCTATAACTTGTCTTCAGACCCTAATATTCCATTATTACACTGATCCATTTAATACTGAGACATTATCCAGAGTTTTTAATTTAAGGTATTGACTTACTACATTTAAGCTTCATTTTTTTCTTCACTATTAGGAAAGACAGAATTATGTGATTGTACAAAAGTTAACATGTTCTAATCCTAATATATTTTGCAACCTATTGTACTACTAAAAAAGAATGTGCCACCATACCTGGCTGTTTATTGATTTTTTAAAAATTTATTGTTTGACAATTTCATTCATGTATACTATGAGTTTTGAATATTAAGGCAATGGATTTTCTTCCCAAGAATTCATGAATAACCAATCATTTTCCGGGAATAGATAGGACTCTGTGATTTCCTTCCCCATCAATGACTGACTGTTTATAGGCCAGTCTTGTTCAGGCCTAGTGGAAACAACCACATCTGCTTGGAGCTCATGAACACAATGGGCATGCAATTGTCAGAACATAGCACTTCATACTTCCCTTCTGGATTCTTTCCACTTTGCCTTTTATGATGTTCCTTGACCTTTAGAGGGTCTGGTTTGAGACTGAACATTCAGTCATCACTTATTTGCGGTACCTTGAACAACCAAGAGTCTCTGTATTCTCCATTGTTTATTGCAAAAAGAAACATCTCTGATTAAGCCTGAAATTAGCACTTCTCTATGAATATAAACAAATACATATACATTTAGTTAGCGGTTTGAAACCATGTCAGTTTAGCAAAACAACTGTAATGAATTCTTCTAGGGTCTATGATCTCCCCAGTCACTGATAAGTACAGCTGCTCTCATAACTAGTGAACTTATTGAAATGAGTCTTAAAAATATAAACACCATTATGGGCTCCAGTGGATGGGTATGGGAGGGTACCAGTGGGGACGAGGGTGTAAGATTATTAAGATTCTTTGATATGTTCTGTATAAATTACACAAAAATTCAATAAAAACAAATTTTAAAACTATAGACAATAGAAACTTATAATAGATTAGAGATAGAAATTTCAACAGAAGATCCTAGGAATCCTGAGCATGAAAACATGTAGAAGCATTAAAATAGATGCCTGTAATTCACCATACAGGAAACTCAACTGCAAATAGATCAAAGATCTTAATATAAGACCTCACATCTTGAAAGTGCTAGAGAAAAGTGAGAGGTATTCTTCAACATATAGTATAGGTACTAATTTTCTTAATAGGACACTGTTAGTACTGGAAAAAAATACCAACAGTGGGCAGATGGGATCTCATAAAGATAAAGCTTCTGTACAATAATAAGAAATGTTAAGTGAGTGAAGGGGCTGCCCACAGAATGGAAGAAAATATTTTCTGGGTAACAATGTGATAGAGGTTCTTCAGCTAAGGTTGGGGCCTGCTACCCATTTCCCCAGTTCTATGATGGGTTTTTGTGTAGCTGAGATCACATGGGTCCTGTGCATTGCTGCCCCCATTGCTGTTAGTTCATATGAGCAAGGTCCCAGCTGAGCAGAAAACTCTTTTCCTTATGTTCATGCACCAACACTGGCTCTTACAGTCTTTCTGCCCCTCGTCACAATGGTCCCTGAGCCATGGGTGAGTGGGGGAGAGTTGATATTCTTTAAGGGAATGACTCTAGGTAGGCTGACTAGACTCCAGTGGATGAGCTTGCACTGAGGGTTATCAATAGGCCTTAACATCTGACAGAATGCATGAAATCCATTGGTGGTCTCTGGGGGGTGTGGATGGGGAAGGGGGCTCTAAATATGATTAAGACGTATTATATGAAATGAACAGAAATTCATTTAAAACAGTGTTTTGAGAAAAACTATAATAAAATATGATATAAGTTTAGTAACTAAACTGGAAGAAAACAAACAACCCAAACAGAAATGGACTGTGTAACTAAACAGATATTAAAAGAAAACAAAATGACTAGTAAAAACTTGAAAAATTATTTAGCATTTTTAGTCACCAGTGAAATACAGAATAAACTGCTATAATATTCCATCACACTCAAAGCAAAATGACCATCATCAAAGATAGTAATGGCAACAAAGATGTGTGTGGATATGGGAAGAAGAAATCCTTATACATTGTTTGTGGGGGTGTAAACTAGTCCAGCACTTTGGAAATAAGTCTGTAGATTCCTTAAAACCTAGAAATGGACCTATCATATGACCCAGCTGTACCATTCCTGGGCATATAGTCAAAGACTCTGTATCTTACTACAGAAACACTTGCACGTCCATGTTCACTGTAGCTCTATCCATAATAGCTAGGAAAATTTAACAACCTAGATCTCAAAAAGTCAAATGAATAATGAAAACGTGATACAAATACACAATGAAATTTTATTCAGTTATGAAAATGGATTTACGAAATTTGTAAGTAAATGAATGAAACTGGAAAAATGTTATTGAGCAAGCTAATCCAATGCCAGTAAAACAAATGATGCATGTTCTTCCTTATATGTGGATCTTAGTTTTGAATCTTTAATTGTGTAACAAATTTCCTTTAATATTGGATTTAAAGCCCATGTCACAGCAGGAAAATCACGCCTGGTATTGAAACTCTTGTTAAGAACTCTTCGCTGGGAAACTAATAGGCCCTAAGTGAAAACCTATCACTATTATTTGCTAAATTGATAAAATATCAAATACCTTCTAAACATTTATCTCCATACCAATAGATTAGTGCAAGTCTCAGTCTTCAGAGAAACATTTTTGTAGAGCAGACCATGATTAATACAGAGACCCTCAACTTGTCAAATGGCAAAGAAACAGGTCTGTACAGTGTTGAGCCCCGAGGGGATATCCATATCTTATTTCATGCTCCAAAGCTGAGAGAACATCATGTAAAAGGGGGCCCTATCTTAATAGCCAGAAGTTGGGAATGACTACTTCAAAATGGCATTTCCTGGACATGACAAGTCTGTTTCAACCATGATCTCACAGAACTGCCTGTGGCTGCCTGCAGAATACCTGCTCAAGATCAAGCCAGTCAACAATCCTCTAGCTGATGCCCCATCAGCAATAGATGACTGCTAGGGGAAGGACAATGAGTTTTCACTGGGGGTGTGGCGATGAGTGAGATGACCATGTCATCCACAGAAGACACCATTCCAAAGCTGTTTCCCCCTCCTCTGGCTCTTACATGATCTCCAATCCCTCTTCTGTGATATTTCCAGTGTTACGGACAGGGAATTGATACAGGTGTCCTATCTCTATGGCTGAGCTCTTGCAAGTACATATTCTCAACACTTTAAACAGTTGAGAGTTTCTGAATGAAATAACATCCTCTGAAATTAAAAGCTTCTCTATGCAAGATTATGAGCAGGACAAATCTATAGGTATAAGCCTAACTATTGAGAAGATCATTGGACAACACAACCATTTAGCAAAACAACAGTAGATTTTCCCCTAGGTCTCATGACCTCCCAGGTTTACAGTACTAGAAATTAGTTCCTTCATGTGGAATAGGCCAATAATCCAGTCAAGAGAGCATTAGTTATACCCTTAAAGAGTCTTGTCATTATTGCACCAGTGGGAACAACCTGCCTTTCAAGTTGGTATTGTAGCATGCAGGATCCAATGCTGGAGAAGATAATCGATGCCTTTTCTGCCTCAGCAGCCTGTATTGCACCTTTAAGTCCTATGGAAGCTCACTAGAAGGGAGTTTCCTTTAAAGACTGAGTTCTCTATGTTCTGCAGCCAAAGTGTGTGGTGTCTTCAGCAATACAGTCTTCCTATTTAGTTATGATGGACAACCAAGGGAAGTGGTAATAGCCTATATTATTTGGGGTTCTTCTAACCAAAAGCTCACAAAGAAATAACCCATATCTGTTATTGAATTTTACACTAAATAACCAATGTCTTCTGGGAGTTGCATTGTCTGTCCATGCAAGGAACCCTTTTCAAACTCTTTTACGAACAGATGGGTTTTAATAAGTCTTCATACAGTTCTATGTTGCTTAAATTATCTCAGTAAAAAAAGGTCCCCATTTCATCTTTCCAGATAGCACTTATTTTAAGCATCTTGAAATTTCATATTCTTGTCAACTAATAAATGAAAATTAATTAAGTTGATGCTTTTCCTTCACACTGCACCATATAGATAGTTTGGAGTAAGTATACTTTTACATATATTGTTTTTCACATTATGTCAATTTATATAATTGGTTAAGTATACAAAAACACGTCAAATAATTTAAAGTTTAAAAAGATAAATAGATGAAAAAAAAACAAAAGAATAAATGCAAGCATATTCCTTAAAGGTACCTAAAATAGCTTTTTAAATTTTAAAAGTGATAAACATGAGCTCCTAAAACATAGGTATATTCTTTAGCAAAACATCCTGAGCAAACATTACAATTTCTGATTGTACACTTTCCTCTAACATTATTGTTTGCAGCAGACAGTGTTTGTATGCTACGCAGGAGGAATTTGCCCTGGCTGCTTCCTCAATGCCAGAAAGTTGCTTTGATGATAAAGGCTGAAGATGGGAGAGAATCAGTCTTTCAATTCTCCTTACAACTAGGTCAATCATGTTACCTGGCCCATTACTGAAGAGACATAAAGGGAAGTAATTCACTGCACATGGTTTACTTTATGGTATATAAAAAGATGTGTGTGGAGAGTTCTCATACCTTATTGTCTGGCTTTCTATATGTAGTTGTGTTTTTATGTGGTTCTTAGAACTAAAATACATATTTTGTGACCATGAGGTACTGAATCTTGGAGGACTAAGGCCAACAACACATGGCGGCATGGAAGAGACTGGTTCTGTGTTGAGAGTCTTAATTATCAAGACAATTCTAGAAAATTCGATCTGCAGAATTATGGCCTATTAGAAAAAGAAGCTCATTTAAATGAATGTTTAATTTTAAGTGTCCTTGAAGTCCTTAAATGACACAAAAAATTCTTTCATGGTCACTTTTAAATATAACACTGATTAAACATCTCCTTTAATTTTAATCTAGAATTAATCATAATTTATGACATGGTTTAAGTTGCTCAGAGAGTAATGGAAAACCATTGGGAGTTCAAGCAGGAGAAGTCAGAGCAAAAGACAGAGAGAGAGAGAGAGAGAGAGAGAGAGAGAGAGAGAGAGAGCTGGGAATTCAGAGTCCTTGCTAAAGCACTGTAGATGCTGCATGAAAGGAGCATGTATGAAAATATGAGAAAGACAGGGGTCACTACAATTGAGTCATATAGTGTAGTAGAGGAGAGCTTTCAAAATTCAAGGAGTGCCTGAATTTGTATAGCAGCTGGGGGAAGAGTAAGGGCACCATGAGCATTGAAGGTAGTCTGTGGAATACTTTCAAATTTTCTACACAGAGAGCAGCCAAATATACATAAATCGTTAAGTTCCCAGTATATACCATGAACTACACTGAGCACAAGTTAAACAAACAGTAAACAAAGATGTGGACTTTGTTTTTATATATCAAACAATTTTTTAGGGGAAAAGAGATATTACAATGAAAAAAAATATGTTGTCTTCTGCAAGAACAACCAGTGTCAGGTTATGCCACAGAAATTCATCCATCATAAAAATCACTATTGCCCTTCCACCTGGCCTCCTCAGTGATGAGTGTAACTCCACAGGCTGTCAGATACTGCATTCTAATTCTGTTCTTCCTTCTGTATTTATTAACTGGTTTCTCTTTCTAAATACTGAACTGCCCTAAAATATTATTCATAAAAGAAGGCAGGATCCTTGGAGCTGGAAAGATGGCTCAGCAGTTAAGAGAACTAGCTGTTCTTGCAGGAGACCTGGGTTTGATTCCCAGATTCCGTATGGAAGCTAGCAACCATCCATAATTCCAGGTCCAGGGGAATTCAAAGCCCTCTTCTAACCTCTCCGGGCATTGCATGACATGGGAGCACTTACATATATGCAAGCAATACACTCATACATATAAAATAAAAATAATAAATAAAATATTAAAAGAAGAAAGGGGCTCTGTTAATTATCACTACTACTTTAGAAACTGGAAACATAAAGCAAAGGAAGTTTATGTAACTTCTCCAGGTAATTATTATATTGAATTTCCAGAAGGATTTCAGGTTGAGATTTCTAATTGTTATAGAAGTGGAGGCTTTACAAGGGACAAAAGAAATTTTTAATTAAAATATTTATTGACATGTAAATGAACTGAGGTGCTACAATTATTGAAAAAATTCAGACAAAAGAAATAAGAAATATAGAGCAAAATATGCAGAATATTTCCACTTTGGATCTTAGATGAAGATCTTCCATCAGATATGAAGACAGCGTAGAGATGGTAGCTTGCATTTGGTTTTGCCTTAGAAGTTGTATAAGGCCAAGAGTGAAGGGACAAACTGCAGTAAGACTGTAGTCCCTCAAGAATTCAAAAACGATCTTGGTCCAGAGTGTAAATACAATTCCCTTACTTCCTTCTTATACCTAAGTTCTGTTCCCAAGGGATGAGAACTAACAAGCTTTGATTCTGTTTAGAACCAGTACATTATATTAATATCACTACATTCCTATTGCACATTCTCCATATTATAAAATGGCAAATGCAACATTCATGAGGCCTTTATTTATCTGTTATATGTAAGTACTGAAAGTCACAATCAGAAAATGTAACCTGCAGCTTATAAACATTTTCAAGGAACATTGGCAATTGCGTTAGTAACAAATAAAACCAAAACCAAAAGCCAGAAAATTTCATTCCCAGCAAGGATAAGGAAGATCCAATATTTTCTGGATTAATGAGGGTGAGTTTATGAACTGTATATGTATTTATACCCTTGTTTAAGGGCAAAAGTTCAGGGATCTAAGACAGGTCAATTTTTCCCAATTTATTGAATCCTGAAAAGTTAAGTAAAGCTGGCAGAAAATATGTTCCAGGTGGAAAGAAGAGATGGATAAAAGATAGAGCATTAGTAAATTCTTTCTCCAAAGACAGGACTTTTCCTAAACAACCTTTCCTATAGTTTGAAACCTTACTTTTGCATTAGAAACTGTTTGATTTACTTCCCACCATAGTCTAGTCTGCATTACAGGCCAGCACTAGTTGTTAAAGCTGCTACAACTGACTTTTCTAGAAAGCAGGTGGATCAAGTGAAGGGAGACGTGTAGGATAAGAGAAAGATGATTCTGTCCATTCTACTTTCCTTATCCTTTGCTTGTGAGCTGTTGTTTAGTTTAATTTGCTGGTATATTTAAATATGTTTAACTTAGTAAGATTTTTGATAAAGGGAACTTTATGCCACTCATGGTCCCAGGGAAGGAAGATTCTATAGGTTTATAATAGATTTGAATATTGCCTGAGAATCTTTCATACTGATGGCATGAGATATTATGGGAATAGCTAGATTGTTTTATCATGTAACACACTTTTTCCTGTGTCCACAGATTCCAGTAGAAAAGAATGGCTTTTGGAAATATGTCTTTTGTGACTGAATTCATCCTGGTTGGCTTAACAGACCAACCAGGTCTTCAACTACCCCTGTTCTTTCTGTTTCTTATAATGTATATGATCACTATGTTGGGTAACATGGGTTTGATAACTCTAATTGTACTAAATTCACACCTTCATACCCCCATGTACTTTTTCCTTTTTAATTTGTCTTTGATTGACCTCTGTTATTCATCAGTATGTACACCAAAAATGCTAATGAATTTCATATTAACAAAGAATATTATCTCTTTTACAGAGTGCATGGCACAACTCTACTTTTACTCATTTTTTGTTATTTCTGAGTGTTATGTGTTGATGTCAATGGCCTATGATCGCTACGTGGCCATCTGCAATCCACTCTTGTACAATGTTGCCATGTCCTCGAAAGTGTGCTCCTACCTTATGCTTGGTTCATACTTAATGGCATTTTCTGGTGCCATGGCTCACACAGGATATATGCTGAGATTGACCTTCTGTGATGCAAACATAATCAATCACTATTTCTGTGATATTCTCCCTGTGATGCAGCTCTCCTGTACCAGCACTCACGTCAATGAACTGGAGGTGTTCGTTGTGGTGGGAATCAATATCGTTGTGCCCAGCACCACCATCTCTATCTCGTATGCCTTCATTCTCTACAGCATCTTACACATGAACTCTACTGAGGGCAGGTCCAAAGCCTTCAGCACCTGCAGTTCCCATATGATTGCTGTATCTCTGTTTTTTGGATCTGGTGCATTTATGTATTTAAAACCATCCTCAGCTGGGTCTATGGATAAGGGAAAAATCTCTTCTGTCTTTTACACTAATGTGGTTCCCATGATGAACCCCTTAATCTACAGTTTGAGGAACAAAGATGTTAAATTTGCCTTGAGAAAAATGTGGAACAGGTGGAAATTAAGATAGGAAACAGTGTCTGTCTGTGCCTGTATCTATGAGGCAGGTGATCTCTCTTTTATTAAAATATTTGAAGAAGGAATAACTTTTCCTGTTGTTTTTTATTATTGTGATAAGGTAACTATATTCTTAATTTGCTTTCTATTTTACTAATAAATATTCTTTCACCACAACATTTGGTATATTTAAAAAGATTCATTCTTTAGTTTTTATTGTTATTATTGGTTTTTCCTTTTATGAAAGATGAATTGCTCTTTAAATGATCAAGCAAGTTTTAGGATGACATTTTGTCAATGAAAAAGTTTTGTGGTCATGAGTCCTACCTATTATATTCCATTGAAAACACAAATGAGACTATGTCTCTATCCTTTATTTCCATTATTCAACTTCAAATAATGTTTTACAAGTAGAAAATGTTCCACCAAGACTATCAAAATAACCCATTTTGCTGTTGTAAATGATATGCACTAAAACTCTTGATATAGTTTCCATACTTACCTTTATTTCAAAGAAACTCATAGTAGATTATTGATTAATGTTTATTGCATGGATAGTGTACTCAAATTTAGGAAGGTTGATAATTAAAGAAAGTCTCTCATTTTTTAAATAAAAGACCTAAAATAAAAGAACACCCTCCTTATTACTTTCTGACATTTAATTTTAGTAGTTTTACTTCATTAAATGTGAAAGTGAAAAAAAGTGTCTGTTTTTAAATGTTCTCCTTTGTTTCTCTATTATAAACAAATATATGTGAGGGTAAATGTGGCTTTGCTTTTCTTTCCCACAGAAAATAGTTTAATGATATTTTTGTGGTGGTTTAAGATAATTGGGAGGCGATTGGCTCAAGTAAGGAGTTTATACAAAACCAAAAGATAATTTGAAATATTTTCAGGAGTTTTTGAAGCACATCAGCAAAGAAAGGAGTTTGGCAGCACGTCTTCGTGCCCTAAGAGACAGAGTCATAATGCGTGATGCCCTTCTCTAACTGTATTTTTAGAGGCAATGCTTCAATATGAATTCTTATTTGTTCTATAAGACACTGCAATATCATTCACTTCCATTAATCTACAGTCCATATTTTACTAAATTTTTGGAAGTAGATGCAAAAATTTAATAGCTATATTTGTGTGGAATCAGAGAATAAAATAATGAATGGTCATTAAACTCAAGATAGGAATTTAGAAAGTAAAGGAAACGGAATAGCCTAACAGTTCACTATGTATCAATTGGATGTGCACTATGTAGGGGCTCACTGTCTCCATTTTAACCAATTGTGGAACTTTGTAATAGTCTTCATTTGCTGGAAAAGTCTTCTTTGATGAGTGGTGAGAGGTATGCTTGTCTGTGAAGGTAAGGATACATAGTAAGAATAAGGTAGGATGTTATATTTGTCAAGGGAAGTGGCACTAGTAGATTCTTATTTAGGGTCTATAACCTTTCCAATTACATGTATCTGGCTGTTTACAGTAACATGAATGGTCTCCTTTCTTCCGGTGGGCCTTAAGTCCAATTAGATAGCCATTTATTACCCACAAGATAAAAGTGCCCTATTGCACCAAAAGAGATATTTTGCTGGGCTGTTCATTGTTGAGGTTTGTAGGCTTTACAGCTGGGTAGAACCATTGATTTTTTTTTCTCCCTAGGCAGCTTGCATAGTACCCTTTGATACTCAAAGAGCTAGTCTTTGGGGAGGAGATTTTTAGATCAGTTTCAGCTCAATTTTTTCCAAGTCCTGTGTCTGAATTATGTCCTGTCCTTAGCAATAGTTTTAATATTCAAGTTCTAGGAGGCAACCAAGGGTTAATTGAAGAGGTTACTTTTGTGATGCTATTATTTTGGGAGTCTCTTGGACTATCCAGATCAACAGCATAAGAGGAGGGTTTTTTTTTTGCCTGACACTGTGATTTTTCAGGTAAACACATGAGGTGTTGGGGATTTAGCTCAAGGCTCTGGGTTCCATTCTCAACTCCAGAAAAAAAAAACAGAAAAAAAAAATGAACAAGATATACACATGCATTCACCTGTGTAGATATTGTGTATGTATTTTTAGGTAGACTTATGAAGTAAGTCTCTATGGGTTTTCAGACCACCTTAGTATTATTTTTCTTTCTTTGCTTGCTTTCATCCTGTATATCCCTCCAACTGTTTAAGAACCACCACTCACTTTTTTTTTTCCCAATTCTGCCTTTTAGCACCTATGGCTCAGGGAAAATCACAGAACTGTGGAATGATTTTAAGAGCCAGAGAAACAGGACACCTGCTTCTAGATAAAATATTCTTGTCAAGACAGGAAAGCTATACCCATGGAATCTCAACTGTACGGTTGCCTAGTATGGCCTGGATAATGACAAATCCAATTAACATGCCAGTGTGAATGGAGGAAACAATGCAGGGTTCCACATCTAGCTGAAGAGAGACATGTAATCAATGGATGCTGAGGAAAATGAGTTAGTTTTCTCTAGGGACAAGTTCCCTGGTAAATTGTTTAATCCCAAATGGTGACCCCTAACCACATGTATACACCGTCGGCACTAAATAGACTATATATGTACATGCATAAGTGTATGTGTGTGTATGTACTAATAATAATCAAAGACGAACAGAAATTGATGTGGCATTGGTGGCACATGAGAAGGGTTGGAGGGGGGAGTGGTAGGAGTGGAGATAATGTAAATTTAACAATTGTGTAAGAATTTCTCAAAGAAGTCATCTTACTATGAAACTTCTCTACAAAATAAAAATCTTTAGATACACTGAAATTCCTGAATCTCTGGGAAGGATTGAGCTAAAGACATTGACAGTAAAGAACTATTAATCCCAGAGGTTTAAAGTGCCCATCAGCAGTTATATTTTCCTGTTCTTTGGGCTGTTATATGCTGATCCTATGGAGATTTATAGACATTGAAATGTCCTATTTCAGTTGGGAGAACAATAACTATATTTCAATAAAAGAAATATTCTAAATAGACCCAGAATTGAATATTTCTTTTCTAGAGTAGGATGTGATGCCCATTCCTTTGGCAAGCACATAACTACATTGAAGATCCTTAAAGAACAATATAAATGTTTTGTATTACAGTAAGATTTTCTGTTTCACCATTTTTTGGTCTTTTTGAGACAGGGTCTCCCTGTAGCCTCAGCTGCCCCAGAACTCACTATGTAGACCAGGCTTGCCTTGAACTCAGAGATCCGCCTGCCTCTGCCTCCCAAGTGCTGGGATTAAAGGTGTGTGCCGTCATGCCTGGCTTGTTTTACCATTTTTATTGTCACTTTTATATTTAAGTATTTGAAGTTTAGCATAAGCAGTTGTAGAATTGTTCCTTTGTATTTATGTGTTGGCAATTTCCAACAGTGATTTTCATTCAAAATGTTATATTTATGTAAAATAATTGGCCTTGAAGTTCAGAGTTCTCTTGATTTTTAAAACATTTTTTATGTGTTATTTTTAATTTTGTGTGTATGAGTGCTTTGCATGCATGTAAGTGTACTCATGTCCTGCAGTGCCCACAGAGGTCAGAACAAGTTACCCAATTCCCTTGGAACTGTAGTTATGGACAGTTGTTAGCTGCCATGTAGGTGTTGGAAATTGAACCCAGGTCCTCTGCTAGAGCAGCCAGTATTCTTAACACTGACCATTTTTCTAGCCCCAGCTTTTGAAAAAAAATATTTTTCTTGCTTTTTGTGCATTTCATATAATAAAACAATCAAATTTAGACACCCCCTATCCACATCTCCATATCCCCCCACCAGACTCCATGCATTCTGTCATGTATTTTAGCTTTTATCTGATCAAACAATTGTGTGCCCAGGTGTTCCTTGGTGCAAGTTCATCCACTGAAATCTAGTCCACCTATCTATAGTCACTCTCTTAAAGATCTATTCTCCCGCACCCTGCAGTAATTGATTATCAATAGTTCCTCAGCTAGGATTGGGACCAGATTCCCATTTCACTTGTTCTATGAAACAGCATGTCACTGGATACAACTCCTATGTAAACCTCACCCACCCAAAGCTCAGGGATCATTGCAGAAGAGGGAGCAGAAAAATTGTAAGAGCCACAGTTGGTTCATGAACATAGGGAAACAGAGACTTTCAGGCCGTTGGAAACTTGCAATAGTGTTGACAGCATTCACAAGGCGCACGCTGATCTAACTTTTTTTTAAGCTGTCATTTTTCTAAGTTTTGAGTAAAAGACTTTTCTTGTGGAATGAACAATGTTTATAAATAAATAAATCATATTTCCATTGCTTCTAATACTGGGTGGTATAAGATTATATTTGTGCTTTTATAATTTTTATCGCCAATTGAAATATCTCCCAAAGTAGATTAAACTGACTCACTAATCTCTCATCCAACAAACTTCAAAATTTAAGTAAAAGCTGTTAAAATTTCATAAAAATAGTTTTAATTAGTTGCTATTCTTTAAGACATTTTAAAGATAAAGAAATCACAATCAAAATTAGAGTGAAAAATGGAGCTATTACAACAAACACTGATGAATTTCACAGAATCTTTATAGCCTACTCTGAAAACTTTTCTACCAATAAATTGAAAATATACAAGAAATAAATTTATAGACACACATGACCTACCAAAATTAAGTCAACATAATCTAAGAAATTTATATAGCTGTATAAAAGGCAATGATTTTGAAGCAAATAAAATGTAGTAATAAAAATGTCTAGGCCCAGATGGAATCATGCTGACATCTATCAGAGAACAAATGTCAATTAATCTCAAAAGTTCTGTAGATTAGAAAATGAAGCTAATTCAATTAAGCTAATAACATGATGATACCAAAACTGGGCAAAAACAAATGAAAGAAGAAAATTATGAGCCTAACTTGTAATTAACAAATATGAAACTATTGGAAAATCATTTTCAACAATATATGCAAAAGATCACTAACTGTGCTTGCTTTATTCTAGGGGTACAGGGATAGCTCAACATGTGCAATTCAAATACATTACACAATATATAAAAGGTCATTGACAATGACCAAGTTGGCTATGTTACAATTGCACAAGAATGGTTTGACCTATTAAATTAATAAAACAAAGATCAATGTAGTATATTAAAAGAATCATGGACAGGAACACATGAGCTCCTTATCCACTAATCAGTGGACACTAGGCTGATTCCATTTTCTAGCTATTGGGAATAGAGCAGTAATAGATGTGGATAACCAGGTATAGATGGGATAGTTTATAGAGTCTCTTGGGTATAAGTCCAGGAGTGGAATAGCCAAGTCATATGGTCACTCTATTTCTAGATTTTGGGGGATCTTCCACAATGATTTCTATGCTGACTTCATCAGTTTACATTCCCACCAATAGTGAATAAGGTTTCATCTTTCCCCATATCCTCATCAGACATCATTTTCATTTGACTTGTGTGTATGTGTGTGTGTGTGTTTGTGTGTGTGTGTGTGTGATTGTGAGCGTGTAGACCCACTACTGGACAGCCTTAGGTGTCATTCCTAGACACCTAAATTGTTTCATTCTGTTTTTTTATTGAGCATTTTTAATTTCATACATTTCCTACTCAAATCCAGACCCCCCTCCCCATCCACGCCTGCCCCATACACCCACCGAACCCTATGCACTCTGCCATACATGCTGAATCCTATTCATTCAGGTGTTTGTACCCAAATGCCCTTCAGTGTGAATGCATCCACTGAAGTCTAGTCAGCCCATCCAGTGGTTTTATGTGAGTCATATTTTCCCTCACCCAGTAGCAATCAGTCTCAAATAGTTCTCAATCTAGTGCTGGCACATACCTATTTATTTGACTTCTGGATGGTGACCATTCCTTGTTCTCCCCTATACAGTGCTCCCTGTTCCTTCCTTAGTTAAATTGTCTTCCCCATTTTCCCACTTCCTCTTTGTAGTACTTAAGGTTCAGAGAACATTACAGAACAGTGGATAGAACCGTTCTAAGAGCCAAAGGAACAGAACACCTGATGTTAGATAATACGTTCTAGACTTGATTAAAAGAAAAAAAAGCTGCATCCTCAAAATCTCCATGCACGGTTGTCTCAAAAGAACATCATAATGACGAAACCAGTTGAAATGTCTGGCATGGTGATTTTTGTTGTATAGCATTCAGCTATACACATGCACTCAAGTTTATGTTACATGCTCAGCACCTATTTTTATTTTTTATTTTACTTTTTTTCTATTTTTATTTTTTATTTGAGTAGGTGATGACTTTCTTTGAAAACTCCCTAATTCCATGTAGCAAGAAACCAAGTTGACCCAGGTGGAGTTTACTCCAGACAGGTATGTGTAACATACCTTATAGTGGCTACATTGTGTGAAGCCGGTCTTGAAATTTCAACCATCCACAACTGTTGGTCTGAGACCTGTTACTGGCATATAATCACATGTACTTTCTGCTACTGGATCATATTTATTCCTCAGCTTAAGGGGAATGTAAGCTCCACTACCTTTCATTCTCCGACTCACACTCCACTGTAGATTTTTTTTTTTCCAATGATTTTGCTTGAGTTCCATTCCACAAGGGTCATACTAAGCAAAAGATAGATGTTCATAGCAAGGTTTGACATACTTCCTATGAATTAGAGGAAATCTAAATCTAAAAGATGTGTTTTGTAAAGCAGCAGTCTTCTGCATAAGCTTCTCATGACTGTGCCTTGTTATAATATCATGCAGTTTGGTTTTAAAAATATTTTAATTATTTTTTGATACTTTCATATAACATATTTTGCTCAGACTCATTGAATGATCCACTATGTTTCATGTGCTTTTATCCCATTTATTTCTTGTTTTTCCAAATTCCTTTTTAATTTACTTTTTTTAATTTTTGTGGTTTTTATACAACAAATAATAAATTAGACATGCTTCCTTCACAAATCTAAGAAAGCATGTAGACATAGTGGATAGTTCACCAATTTTTCTACACATGGGACTTTATTTTAAACAGTTTTCTTATTTGTTTAATCACCACACAAGCCCAATGAAGGACACATTTTTACTATCCTTAATTTACAAAAATAAACTCAAGGCACAGATTGAGTAGCAGGCTCCAATAACCATGTAGCTTTTCCTTCTCCCTTCATTTTTCTAGCAGCTATATTAAACAATACAGAAAATGTTGACCTCAGTATTAGGCTGTTGCATTTAGGGATTAAGCAGTGGAGTCACTGAAAATTTCCAATAATTAGTAAAACTGTTTGTATTTTTAATATTTTTTATATGTATGCATGTATTCCCTGGATGTAGGTAAGCGCAACCATTTTGGGCAATGCCCACAGAAGATAGAAGAGGCTGTCAAGTCCCTTGGAACTGGAGTTACAGACAGTTGTTAGCTGCTATGTAGGTGCTGGGAATCAAACCCAGGTCTTCTGCAAGAACAGCCAGTGTCCTTAACCACTGACCCATCTCTCCAGCCCCTATTTATTTGTATTTCAATACAGTAAGCATGATTTTGGAGGGCTGCCATTTTTGCTCAGTGGGAGTGCACTTCCTTAGCTTGGGTGAGTGCCCAGATGTGAGCCAGAACACTGAACACAAAGTAAAACTACAAGAAAAATAATTTCTAAAAACTGATTTATAGAAACCTCAGGTATGATAATATCTTAAATTTTTTATCACTACGAAAAACTATGTACAAAGGAATGAGGATGCCTGGAGGTAAACTCTTTGGAATTTTACCATTGAAGGTGTGGGAAAAAGAGAAAATAATCAAAACAATAGATTTCCCTTAAGAAATGAGGGTGATTGGGAGATGTGAGTTCAGTATTGCCTCAAGCAAGCAGGATGCACAATTCCCAAAGAGAAGGCCATACCTGAGTAAAGAATGAGTCCCTGAGGATCTAAAGACACACCCTGGTCTAGAATGTGATTGTAGTCATCGCGTTTCCCTTATATCTGCTTTGTGTGTCCTGAAAAGTGACTGAGAGAAAACCTTCCTTGCCCATAGTCAAGTGTATATTTCTTCTAAGCCATGTAAAAGGTTCTGATCTCTCATCTAATGGACAATGTGGTAAGGAAAAAAAAAAAACTATGTATTTTCCTCTGATTTTGTAGAATATTAAGGAGTGCCATTACAGAGTATGAACAGTAATTCAGGAAGATTTCAAAAAAATAAGAGAAATTAATTTTCTGCTACACTCTCTTAAAATCAAGAAAATCAAAGCCTCATAGACTGATATTGCTCTTCAGGGCATCAGAGCAACTAAAACTGACAAGTAAACAATAACTTATCAAAGGATTTTGTCAAAGGAGGCTAAGTTTTGAAATCTTTTCTATTTAACATTTTCATTGAGATATCTCTAAAGCCTTAAATGATGAGGTCTGCAATTTTTTTTGGTCCCGATATTCACGGTGAAATTCCTAACAAGAAAACTGATTGACATATGCCTCTCCTGCATGTAGGAGGCCGGCTTGCTTTTATGTTATTTCAGTGTAGATACATGTAGTAAGACAATTATGCTAAGATTTTCCTAGTATACTACCGAGGATTGTTTAATTATTTTTAACATGTTGAACCTTAGATATACATTGATTTAGATATCTTTCTTAAATGAATGTTATTAATTTTTATGCATAAAATGCTTATATATTTAAAAATCAAATATTTTCATTTTTCTACAGTTCAGACAGTGATATTTGAATCATCTACTCTTTAGCCAACACCATCTGATTTTCTCTCACCCATGATTTAGCGACCAGCATCCCCCTCTCTGCTAGTGAGACAACAACTGTTTTAGATCACACATGGTAGTGAAGAGATGTGCAGTTTTTCCCTTTTATATTTAAGCTTGCTATGTTTTCTTAATGACTTCATCCTGAGGTCCAGGGATCTACTTTTTGCTTTCCTTTTTGGCAGCCATAACATTTAGTCAAAATTCCCAGACTGCACTGAAAAGAGGGTGAGGATGCTCAAATATAGGAGTTTCATTGTCTCAACGGAGAAGTTTCCTTTTACAGATCTCATTTCTGGATTCATGGGTCTACTATGACAAATCAGTATCTTAACTGACACAATCCCATTAGGAAGAGACCCAAAAATGGAGCTAGTTAGCACTAGAGAATTTCCACAGGCATGGACCAGGAATTCCAAACAGTTCACATCAAGAATGCTTCAATATGACAGCACAGGGCTGCAGCTTAGCCCCACTACCTGGACTCTTAACTATGATGGCCCTTAGAAAAATAACCCTTGCTTATCTGGCCCCTATTTTCTTGGGAATGATTTCACCTGGAGATTACTAACTTCAGAGTGGCTCACACTAACCTCCATAATGGTACATTGGCCAATTTGGCCTGTCCTCCTTTGCACAGTGTGAAATTTATAGCAGGGGGGAAAATCAGCAAGACCATAAAAATACTTCTCCTAAATATGGACTTCTGCAGTTCACAGCCAGTGCCTTAGGCAATAGGTAGTTATTGTCTAGTCCCCCATCCTGCTACTTTTTTTCAGTACACTCAACCATTGTTTACCTGATCTGAGAGGTGAATCCTTTCTGCACTACCACAGTACATGAGTTCATTACATTAACTCTTCCTACCAGAGTTCACTCTAAGTGGGACTCTGTGCCATGCTGTTATAGCCTCTCTCTTATGAGGGAATGGCTGAATTAAGGGAAAATGATGAGATAAGCAAAGGAAATTCTGTCTTGGCCCAAACTACTGTTCCCTCTCCCTTGTTTTTTTCCAGAATTCATGTTAGAATCCAGCATCCCAGCAGTCATCTGTGTAGACTGTTTGTGATGCTCTTAATATATTTAACTTTTAAAATTTGAATATGGAGAATATGGTACTGTTTAGTCACATGGTAGCATGATAGGCTGGATCCTTGATTTCAAGTAGATCATTGTCAGATAGTCTCAGAATGTTCTTCACAAATGTTAAGAAGCTGTGATTGTAAGTTCTGCCATATCTAACTTCACCATTTTCTTTTCTGCCTCCTCACATACGCCTAGAGAAAAATGACTATGGAAAATGCCTCCTTGGTAACAGAGTTCATCCTGGTGGGGTTAACAGACCAGCCTGACCTTCAAATACCTCTGTTCCTGTTTTTTCTAGTAATGTATATGATAACTGCATTGGGCAATTTGGCTTTAATCATTCTAATTGTGCTGAATTCTCACCTGCACACCCCCATGTACTTTTTCCTATTTAACTTGTCCTGCATAGACCTGTGTTACTCTTCTGTGGTTACACCCAAAATGCTTATGAACTTCATACTAAGGAAGAACCTTATCTCCTATGTGGGATGTATGACCCAGTTCTACTTCTTCTGTTTTTTTGTCATATCTGAATGCTATGTGCTGACAGCAATGGCCTATGACCGCTACGTGGCCATCTGCAATCCACTCTTGTATAACATTGCCATGTCTCCTAAGGTGTGTTCCTATCTTATGCTTGGTTCATATTTGATGGGGTTTTCTGGTGCCATGATCCACACTGGATGTGTTTTGAGACTGACCTTCTGTGATAAAAACACCATCAACCACTATTTCTGTGATCTCTTTCCTTTGCTGCAGCTCTCCTGTACCAGCACCTATGTCAATGAAATAGAGCTATTCATTGTAGCAGGAAAAGACATCATTGTGCCCAGTTCCATCATCTTTACCTCTTATGGTTTCATAATCTCCAGCATCCTCAAAATAAGGTCAACTGAGGGCAGGTCCAAAGCCTTCAGCACCTGTGGTTCCCACATAATTGCTGTATCTCTGTTCTTTGGATCATGCGCATTTATGTATCTAAAACCCTCCTCAGCTGGATCTATGGATGAAGGAAAAATATCTTCTGTCTTTTATAATATTGTGGTTCCCATGATGAACCCATTAATCTACAGCCTGAGAAACAAAGATGTGAAAAATGCCTTGAAAAAAACATTAACCAGCAGAAAATTTTGATACTGTAGTTATAACACCAAGAACTGTGTATTGACTAATATACTTTTTAAAATTATTGAACTTTTGTGACTTACATACAATATAATTTGATGGCATTTAGATTCACTCCCCTCTCTGTACCTCCCTTACTGTCCCCTCACCACCCACTTTAATGCTCTCTCTCTCTCTCTCTCTCTCTCTCTCTAGAGTATGTCTATGTCCCTCAGATTCATGCACTGGGCCCACTAAGAGTTCCAACCTTGAAAATATATTTTTTACTTTTACTGAACTCTTTTTGTATTGTATTGTTTTGTTTTGTATTGTATTGTATTGTATAGTTTTCTTTTGTTTTGTTTTTACCCCTTTATTTGGTTGTTCAAGACAAACCTCTCTGTAGCTATACTTGTCTTGGAACTTGTTGTATAGAACAGACTGGCCTTGATATCACACAGATCTCTCTGTGTCTTCCTCCCTCCAGATTTTGGGATTAAAGGCATGAGCCACCATAACAGGCCTGCATTGATTTTTCTTATAATGGGGAAGGAAATTTGGAAGTGTCTTATTTTCAGACATTTTTCAGTAAGTTTTTTCTTTGTCCTCATGATTGGCTTGATTTCTTCCATCACCACTGGAGGGCCTTGAGAATAAGAGTTAAGTAAATAATTTCTTTTTATTTTCCATTATGGACTGCATCTTTTTTCAGTATGGACTATATCTCATTCTCAAAGAGTAAGTAAATAATTTCTTTTTCTTTTTTCTTATGGACTGTATCCTCTAAAATATTAGTAGCTCTAGTCAATAACTGTTGCTGTCAGCACAGCACTGGGAGGTAGAGTACCTATTTGTCAATTTTTTTTGAAGCATGAGTCAAATATTCTATCTCTGTTATTTCTTCTACTGGGCAATGGCATATCAACTGAAATGTCAGTATTCCATGATCTCATTCCTTCCTCATTGTCTGTTAAATATAACTGATATCTGATTTTACAGCTATGAATACAATGTATTTCAAATGCTTTTTGTCAGTTATGATATATATATACATATGAAACTCAAGCAAATTAGTAGTTTACTTATCATAATAGTGATCCTTAAATAAAAATCAATTAGCTTTTTGGTTCTAATTTTATGACTTTATCTAGTATAATGGCTGCTTCATTTCATTAGCAGACTACAACAACATGTGCAACAAAATTTGTTTCCTGGAATTCAACTATGATTATTTCCTGAATAAAGCATGAATTCAAATAAGGCTTTTCCTTATTTTATTTTTTCTTCTGTGTGATTAATTTATCAATCTTTCTGTTTTGATAGAGACTCCTTGATTTGCCAGTTGGTTGGGAGATTTGTTGAACCTGAGAACTGATTTTTCTTACCAAAACAAGTTGAAATACTTGTAGGATCTTTTGTTATAGAAAACAAGGTATTTGAAGAGAATGGAACTCATAGAACAGACCTAAAAACATAGACAATAATTACAAGTTCTCAGTGTAGACTCTCTACAATGATAACAGAAACAACCTTTTTTTCATAAGATGGGGTTTCCCTGTAGTCCCACCTTCCCTGTTACTTGATATGTAAGCCACGTTGGTTTTGATCCCACAGAGATTCACTGACCTCTACATCCAAACTGCTATGATTGAATGCATATACCACCACTCTTGGACACTTTTATTTTTTGATATTTCTTTACGTTGCTGTACAGAAATTTCATTGCTGCAATTCCCCTCCACTGTTCTTAAAGTTTGAGGGAATTAATCCAGGATTAATATAAACAAGAGCATTTTGTAGAATGATAGAATGATTGACCATGTGGACACATTTGTAAGGATCAGCAAGAAGGAAGGTGTCACTGAATTGTAGTTGAAACTCAATTTAGGAAGGCTATAGAAAATTAAAATGATAGGAAAATGACAATAAAAATGAAAGCTCTTTTTTCCATATTTAAAGAAGGCACTAGAAACACTTAGGGATTAAAGGACTTTGCTGAATATGAATTTGACTTATGCAATTTTGTATTATAGAAAAGATGCATTTGAACACTGTAAGACTGGAATATTATCAAATAGCTCTGTTCTTTCTTTAGAGATTTCATATACTATTTCCTCATAAAACTGAGGGTATTGAACTCTCATGTTTTTAGAGGAAGAAAATGATAATTTTAATGGTGATTTGGCAAATAAAATCAGTTGTATGTATAGAGACACATTTCTTCTATGTGCAATAGTTTGCAGTTTTTTTTTAACCAATAGAGAGAACAACTGTGGTCCATGGGCCACATAGATCTCTGGATCAGTATGAGTGCTACACACACATTTGTAGATGACAACATCGTGTCACTTATCAAGAGGTTGGAAATACCTTCACCGAAAGTATTTGTTGAACTCAGAAAGAAGAAAGATGCAATATTTCAGGTATTTATTTGTTTTATATAAACATTTTAATGGACATGTAAACACATACACATGAGAGAGAGAGAGAGAGAGAGAGAGAGAGAGAGAGAGACAGAGAGACAGAGAGACAGAGAGACTCTAGGAGCATTCACGCTAGGGACATTTTGTGACATTTATATGGTCAATAACTTTTTAACAGTGTACTATGTGTCACCAACTTAAATAAGGCAGTTAGGGAAAGATAAATGTATAAAGTTTCATAATTCTACAAAGTAGAGTCATATCCTATTTGCAGTAATTTCTAGAAGAAATTACTCTGAAAATTAAAGTCTGGCATGAACTTTCCATGAGTCTGACATTTTCCATAAGTCTGATCTTTTACTAACAAACTCAGCACTAGACCTGATTCACCTGATGGGTCTTGGTGTATAAAATATTAACTTTTAAGCAAAAAAAACCTCATGCAATGTGGAGTAGGGTTGCATCCTGAAGGCTAAGGCTCCATTTTCCTAGGTCTGTAGCACACTGGTAAAATAATTGGTTTAATGTATCTCTCACCAAAGGTGAGCTGACCAACGTCAAACAGTGTGGACATATTTATCAATGGTAGAGTGGCCAGTTTTATACAACATTTTACACAATGTCTTTTGGAATGCTTCATACTTTGTCTCTGTGCTTCTTGGGGAAGAGTTGGGGGACCTAACAAAGGTCAGGTATTCCTGAATATATTCAGGAATATAATCATAAAATGCTGAGATGTTCATAACTCATAACCCACAAGTGGTAGAGCAATGATTAAGCTGCATTTTCATTCAACATTCATTAATTTTAAGCATTATACCAAATTTACCTTTCATAAATATAAATGCACAGAGATACCTAAGGGCACAAGTAAGAGTAAAATCTTGTAGTTTCAAATTATCCAGGCAATATATTTCATGGTCATATTTATAGATTTATTGCCTAACCAATAATTCATGAAAATATTCAAAGATCCAACTTGCTTGTATAACAAATGGAGATAGATAAGAGTGAGCTATATCATACTTCTTACTTTGGGGAAGTTTATGCAGTCCTAGGCTCAGCAATTAGTACTTAACACTGTCTCATTCAATTTCACATCGGTGGTACAGCAACAATAAAATCAGTCTAGTTAAAGCAGAGTTGAATGGTCTCCCCGTTTCTCTAGAACACAGTTCCTAATGATGCCCTGCAGTGACAATTCCCAACATGACAGATATTATCACAGGGTCAGAATAGATCCATTCCACTCATTTTATTTGTAGGCATTATCAGCAAACTTCAGAGCTGAAGTGTATCCTTGTAGTATTGCTGTAAATATCAAGGGGGAAGGAGAAGCAGGGTGAGCTAGACAGAATTTATCTTGGCTCATCCTTCGTATGATTTTTTTACTTAAACCCCTTTCTAGTGCAAGAAGAAAATCAAACTGCTGCTGAAACCTCATCCTTGCTAGAATACAGTATATCTGGCATGATGAACAATATTTTAAGCTCACACTAAAAGAATCAGAGTCTTTTGTGTATGGGAGAGTTTACATGAATGTGTTCTCTGATCGCTTTTTATTAATATATAGAAAAGATACTGATATTTGTAAATTGATTTTGTAACCTGCCACTTTACTGAAAGTATTGATCATTTCTAGCAGTTTCATGATGGAATTTTTGGAATCTCTTACATATAATATCACCTGCAAATAGTGGTACTTTTACCCGATCTTCTACAATTACTGCTCCTTTAATTTTCTTCTTTTATCTTATTTTTCTAGCTAGAGTTCCAAGCACTATATTGAAAAGGAGAAGTGGACAGCCATGTCTGCTTTCTGATTTTAATGGGAATGCTTCCAACTTTTCTCCATTTAGAATGGTGTTGGCTGTGGGTTTGTTGTACATAGCTTTAATTATGTTGGGGTATGCACCCTCCAGTCCATTTCTCTATAGAACTTTGAACACGAATGCATGTTGGATTTTGTCAAAGGCCTTTTCTTCATTAATTGAGATAAACATAGGGGTTTTGTCTTTAAATTTATTTCTGTAGATTATTACATTGACTTACGTATATCAAATCATCACTGCATCTCAGGAATAAAATCGACTTGATCATTGTGTGTGGGGACCTAAAAGCCCCACCTTGCATAGGTCCGAAAGGAAGTTACCGGGGGCGTGGACTGACTTGCTTTGAAAGTCTGAAGAATACTTCCACACTGTTGAGGAGTGCATGATCATTGCGTGACCATCCTTAAGATACACCCTGTTGGGGGGGGGAGTTCCAGGTGCCTTTATAAGCTTTGGAACACTGGCAATAAATGAGTCCCTGCTGGACTAGACTCCCCGTTGAGTCTGAGTGTCCCCAGGTAATGGGGGTGGAGTGGGCTGGCGAATGGCGTGCTTACTCATCCCCAATCTTCACCTCGCTAGGGGTCACGAGTTCAAACCCCGGCAATGGTGAATGATCTTTTTGATGTGTGCCTTTAGGAGGTTTGCAAGTATTTTTTGAGAACCTTTGTGTCTGTGTTCACTAAGGATATGGACCTGTAGTAGTTGTTCTTGTTCTTGTTCATTTCCACCTTCATAGAAGGAGTTTGGGAGTTCTCCCTCTGTTTTTATCTTT